GGGGATTGTGGGTTCCAGTCCCGTCTGGGGTGCCAAAAACGATACCAAAAAGCAGCAGAAACAAACTTCTTATCACCAATTTGTAGATGTTAATTCAGGAGGAGAGCTCCTCTAACCCAACGTGCCAATGGCTGATGGACAGGGCTTTTTATTACACACACTGTTTCCAGCAGATTCGTTGGGTATTGTCTCTTACTTAATACATACTCATTAGTTTGCTCTACATGGTCACACCCCTACTGGAAGTCCTTCTTTGGTCCTTTTCTTTATCACCTTGACCTCAGTTCTCGAGCAGACACAGGGCCACTGTGTTCCACCACCAAAAAGTGTAGTGTTTGTTCTTTATTTGGGTGCACAGAGCTTAGTTTACATCCCGTTTGTTTACATCCCTAATTCTCAAGAGCTTCTCTAAGATTGTACAGTTCCTTATTTGGGGGATGGTGTAAGTAAGTGTAATGGGTTTGTTATACTCCCTGAGAGGGAAAAAAAGAAATAGGAGAAGCGATTTGATGTGTATTCTGCCAATAAGATATTCCACACCATGTTACGCCAGCCCAGCTGTTTAAGGTTTTTGTTTCTCGTGTCCCCCAGCCCTCTGCACCGTCACCTTCGTGTTCTACGCCGCCTCCATCGCGGCCGTCGCGCTGCTCTACGTCTACTACACCAAACCCCAGGGCTGCACCGAGGGCAAGGCCCTCATCAGCATCAACCTCCTCCTGTGCCTCATCGTCTCCGTGGTGTCCATCCTGCCCAAGATCCAGGTGAGGGTGGCTCCCAGGGGGCTGGTGGCCGTGTCACTGCGGGGTGCAGGCCCGCCCTGAGCGCCCGCTGTTGTGTTTGCAGGAGGCTCAGCCGCACTCGGGGCTGCTGCAGGCGTCCCTCATCACCCTCTACACCACCTACGTCACCTGGGCCGCCCTGGCCAACGTGCCAGGTAAGCAGGATGGGGCCTGGGTTAAGGCCAGGCCGAAAGGGAGCTGGGAGTGTGGATGGACAGGGAGCTGAACAGGAGCCAGAGTGTGCCCAGGGGGGCAAGAGGGCCAATGGATCCTGGCCTGGCTCAGGAAGGGTGTGGCAGCAAGAGCAGGGAAGGGATTGTTGGCCTGGACTGAGCTCTGGTGAGGCCACCCCTGGAGTGCTGTGTCCAGTTCTGGGCCCTCAGCTCAGGAAGGACATGGAGGGGCTGGAGCAGGTCCAGAGAAGGGCAACAAGGCTGGGGAAGGGACTGGAGCACAAGTGCTGTGAGGAGAGGCTGAGGGAGCTGGGGGGGCTCAGCCTGGAGAGGAGGAGGCTCAGGGGAGACCTCCTGACTCTGCAACTCCCTGACAGGAGGGGGGAGCCGGGGGGGGGGTTGGGCTCTTCTGCCAGGAACCAGCAGTAGGACAAGAGGGCTCGATCTTAAGTTGTGCCAGGGGAGGTTTAGGTTGGATTTCGGAAGAAATTCTTTCCAGAGAGGGTGCTCAGCCATTGGAATGGGCTGCCCAGGGAGGGGGTGGATTCTCCGTCCCTGGAGGTGTTTAAGGACAGACTGGATGTGGCATCAGTGCCATGGGCTGGGAACCACGGCGGGGTTGGATCAAGGGTTGGACTCGATGATCTGGGAGGTCTTTTCCAACCTGTCTGATTCTCTGATTCTGTGCTTCTATGATTCTATGAGGGGGCAGGACCACACACTGGGGTAGGTGTTTGTCCCCTCCTTGGTGCTGACCCCCTGTGTGCCTCCCCCCAGTGCAGAGCTGTAACCCCACTCTGCTGGTGAGGAACAGCACCAGCACAGCGACGACCACAGAACCACCGACAACCTGGTGGGACGCTCCGAGCATCGTGGGGCTGATCATCTTCATCCTCTGCACCCTCTTCATCAGGTGAGAGCTTGGCTTGTGGCCCTGGGGATGGCACTGTCCCTCTGCCTGGAGCAGAGAGCCATTAGGAGGCTCTCAGGGAAAGGGGAAGTCACATCTTGGCCCAGGGATTTTGTCACTAAGGGCCTCTTGCAAAGCCATCCCAGTCCCCAGGGGGACCCACAGGCAGCTGCCTTGCATGGCTGTGGTCACAGTTTTTAGGGTTTCCCCACACCCTGCATCCCCCAAACTGTTCCAGGGATGGCCCCAAGGACAGAACATTCCTGTTCTACTCTGCACTGCTGCAGCCTCACCTGCAACATTGAGGCAGTTTGGGCACCACAATATAAGGAAGATATTGAGCCACTGGAGAGTGTCCAAAGGAGGGCAAAGAGATGGAGAAGGGCCTGGATTTGAAGGCGTGGGAGGACACTGAGGGCACTTGGTGTGTTCAGCTGGAGCAGAGGAGACTGAGGGGAGACCTCAGTGCAGTTCCAATTCCTGGGCAGGGGCAGAGGAGGGGCAGGGACTGAGCTCTGCTCTGGGGGAGCAGGGACAGCAGCCAGGGAACGGCTGGAGCTGTGTCAGGGCAGGCTCAGGGTGGATCTCAGGCAAAGGTTCTTCCCCCAGAGGCTGGTTGGGCACTGCCCAGGCTCCCCAGGGCAGTGGGCACAGCCCCAAGGCTGCCAGAGCTGCAGGAGGGTTTGGCTGATCCTCTGGGGCACAGGGGGTGACTCTTGGGGTTAGATATGAGGATATCTAACTGTGCAGGGCTGAGGGTTGGACTCCATGATCCTTGGGGGTCCCTTCCAGCCCAGCAGATCCTGTGACTCCGTGACACCCCAGCCATGGGGGCACTGAGCAGGAGGTGCTGAACCCCTGCCCCTCTCCCTGCAGCCTCCGCTCCTCGGATCACCCTCAGGTGAACAAGCTGATGCTGACGGAGGAGGGCGGGTCTGGGCCGGGCCCGGGGGAGGCGGCAGAGCCGGGGCCGCACCGCGCCTACGACAACGAGCAGGACGGCGTCTCCTACAACTACACCTTCTTCCACCTCTGCCTCCTCCTCGCCTCCCTTTACATCATGATGACCCTCACCAACTGGTACAGGTGGGCAGAGCTCCCAGGGCTGTTCCCCTGCCTCTATATCCCCTCCTCCTGGGGTCTGCCCTGCTCTGGGGCAGAGCTGTTTGCTGAGGTGCATCCGTGTGTGAGGCCGCTGAACGTGCTCCCTAACCATGTTCGGGTAGCATAGGGTTGTGCCAGGGCTCGCCAGCACCCTCTGCTGCAGCCTGGGATCCCTCAGGAGCGGGGACCCGGCCCCTGGGTGCTGTGAGTGCAGCAGTGGGGTCACATCCCCGGGGTAGCTGCAGCCACGGGGCTCCTCTGTGTTGCTTGCATGGCACCCATGGGTGCTCACAGTTCCTGTCCCTCTCTGTGGATACCACAGTGATGGTGCCACCCCCCTGTTTGCTGTTCCAGGCCAGACGAGAGCCTGCAGGTGCTGAGCAGCCCCTGGATGGCCGTGTGGGTGAAGATCTGCTCCAGCTGGGCTGGGCTCCTGCTCTACCTCTGGACTTTGGTGGCTCCACTGGTGCTGCCGGACCGGGACTTCAGCTGAGGTGGCCCCGGGCATCCTGTTGCCAGGTCAGAGCCGTGGTGGCCTTGTCCCTCAGCGCCAGGGGCAGCCCCAGCTCTGCCTTAGCCCCAGTTCTGCATGTGGGAGCTGCTGTGCTGGGTTGTGCCTTCTTGCAGGTCTTTTGTTTTAATTTGAAAGGGATGAAGTGCCAAGCAGAGAAATCAAGGGCTGAGAGAGACCTGAGGGTGTTTTTGAAGCTCCCTTCATGCCCATGTTTGTCCAGTGCCTTTGGTGGTGCCTCCAAACCCTCTTCTCCCAGCAGAGACCAGTGCCTTGCCTCGGGAGGGTTTGGTTCTCACCAGCTGCTGTTGTCTCACTTGCTGTCCTGGGCCCGTGGTGCCTTTTGGGGGTGCTGGGGACCAGGACCCAGGACCTGGCCACTGTTATGTCCCCAGACTGCCTAGAGGAAAACGGAATTGCTGAGATTTGTGGCTGGAGGCAGATATCCCTCTGCATCCCCCAGCCTCGGTGGTGGCCCCAGCTCCTCAGGGGCTCTCCTGGTTGCTGTCCCCATGGGAGAACAACCCCCCCTGGTCCTTGCTAGAGGACAAGTTGGGGTTCCTGCAGGCTGTGCTGGCCTGGCCCCAGCACCTCACCTTATCAAGAAAGTTTGTTTGCAATAAACCTGGTGGATTTGTCCTTGGATCTTTCTTGGAGTGTGTGCTGAGTGCGTGGGAGGCAGAGGAAGTATTAAACAGCCCTAATGCTGGGGTGGGGGCACAGCTGGGGGCACAACTGGCTGCCAGGAGGTGCAGGTGGGGATGGCATCACTTTGGGGCATGAAAACTCTGAGCCCTGGACCCCCTTGCCAGGCTGTGGCACCCCAAGAGCTGCTGCTGGAGGTGGGCCCGTGGCTGGCAGGGCAGGGGGTGGTGGTGAGCAAAGAGGGGGGTGCAAGGTGTGGTGCACGGGGTCGGTTGCACACAGCGTGGGGTGCAGAGCATGCCCAGGGGCACAGGGGTTCTTGCTGTAGCAGGGGTTCCCTGCGCTGGGATGCCATCCTGGTGCTCTGCAGCACATCCCCGTGTCCTGCAGCTCATGCTGGTGCCCTGCAGCACAACCCGGGCTGTGAAGCCCATCCCCGTGTCCTGCAGCCCATCCCCGTGTCCTGCAGCCCATCCCCGTGTCCTGCAGCCCATCCCCGTGTCCTGCAGCCCATCCCCGTGTCCTGCAGCCCATCCCCGTGTCCTGCAGCCCATCCCCGTGTCCTGCAGCCCATCCGCGTGTCCTGCAGCCCATCCCCGTGTCCTGCAGCCCATCCCCGGTGGCTCCGGTCACGAGGTGGCGCTGCGAGCCCGCGCTGCGACACGAGGAGCCCAGAACCCGGCACCCAGCACCGTGTGACTTCATCCTGCACCCTGTGACCGCATCCTGCACCCGAGCCCTCATCCTGCGCCCTGTGACCTCATCCTGCACCCCGAGCCCTCATCCTACATCCTGTGACCTCATCCTGCACCCTGAACCTTCATCCTGCACCCCGAACCTTCATCCTGCACCCCGAACTCTCGTCCTGCACCTTGTGTCCTCATCTTGCACCCCGAACTCTCATCCTGCACCCTGTGACCTCATCCAGTAAACCGGTAACCTCTTCCTGCACCCTCTGACCTCATCTTGCAGCCTGAACCCTGATCCTGCACCCAGCACCGGCACCCAGCACCCTCCATCCTTCACCCAGCACCCTCCATCCTTCACCCAGCACCCTGCACCCTGTAACCCCTCATCCCACCCCATGAACCCTTCATCCTACACCCCACCCCCTGCACCCTCTAACCCCTCATCCCACCCCATGAACCCTTCATCCTACACCCCACCCCCTGCACCCTTCACCCTGTAACCCTCTATCCTGACTCCTGCATCCTGCACCCCTCAACCTGCACTTTGCACCTGTAATCTGCACCCTGCACTGTTCACCCCTCATCCCTTCCTTCCCCTGCACCCTTCATCCTTTATCGTGCACCCATCACCCTGCACCCCTGCACCCTACACGCTCACCTTGGACCCCTCACCTCGCACCTTTCACCCTTCACCCTGCACGTTCATCCTGCACCCTGCACCCTTGTGTCCTGCACCCTTGTGTCCTGCACCCTGTGCTCTGCACCCTGCTGGGGAGGTTCTGGAAGGGCTGGATCACACCAGGGTCCACTGCGAGACCTATTTTCCCCTCATTCCTCCTATTCATCATTTATTTAAATGACAATGATCCCTCTTGTCTTTAGGAGACATTTCAAACCCCCGGCAGATACACCCCAAGATGACTGAGGATACTGAGGCAGGGCAATCAGGGTGGCTCTGGCTGTGCTGCTATGGATGCCTCTGACATCCCTGGATTTTGGGATTTAGGAGAGAAACACCCCCATGGCAGGTTGATGTGTTTGTCCCATCCTGCTGTGTTTATCCACCCAAGGTACCCCAAGGAGCTCAAACCACAGGCAACCCTGGCTGTATAATTTAATGAGAATAAATTAAAAAAAAACCCAGATGGATTGATGGCAAAAGCTCCCCAAAAGCCTGAGCACATCATGAGAGGAACTCAGTTCAGTCTGAGCCTCCCCAGTTCCCTCACAGGGCTTGTCATGGGAATGGAGAGTTGTGGCTGTTCTGCATGTGCTTGTTGGCAAGGACAATCCATGCCTGAGTTCAGATATCCCCTTGGATGCAGGCAGGGAGGAGGGAAGCAGCTCCCTGCCAGCTGGGCATCCCGCTGAGCTCAGCCCATGTGGGGGAGAGGCTGCAGGGAGTGTCCCATGGAGGTGTCCTGTTCCAGCTGCCCTCAATTGCCCCTGGGATTCCCCAGCCAGGGCTTGGCTTCTCGGCTCTGATGGCAAAGGCTGTGCCACAGAGAGCCTGGGGAGTGAGCAACTGGCCCAGAGTCAGGGAGGGACTCAAAACTTCCTTTTTCTGCTGATAGTCACGTCCAAACAGGAATGTCCCGTGCTGTGCCTGTGCCCTGCAGCAGCAGCTGCATTTTTAGGAGGCTGGATGGGGATTTGAATATCCAGCAGGGTTGCTCCCAGCTCTGCTGGTGGAGAGGTGCAGGCTGTCTCTGATGTGTCCTGGCTGAGGCAGCACCTTCAGCCTCCACACCCTTGTGGCTTCAACCCAGAGTCAATCCATGGGCACGGGCCAGCCTGTGACACCACAGCCACCTTGTTTTGGAATTGGAGTGGCCTGAGGGAGGGGATTCCACCCCTCTGCCCCTCTCAGAGCTGCCCCAGCCCTGGGGAACAACAGCACAAGGACGTGGAGCTGCTGGAGAGAGTCCAGAGGAGGCCCCGGAGATGCTCCAGGGCTGGAGCCCCTCTGCTCTGGAGCCAGGCTGGGAGAGCTGGGGGGGTTCCCCTGGAGAAGAGAAGGCTCCAGGGAGAGCTGAGAGCCCCTGGCAGGGCCTAAAGGGGCTCCAGGAGAGCTGGAGAGGGACTGGGGACAAGGGATGGAGGGACAGGACACAGGGAATGGCTTCCCAGTGCCAGAGGGCAGGGATAGATGGGATATTGGGAAGGAATTGTTCTGTGTGAGGGAGGGGAGGCCCTGGCCCAGGTTGCCCAGAGAAGCTGTGGCTGCCTCTGGATCCCTGGAAGTGTCCAAGGCCAGGCTGGATGGGGTTTGGAGCAACCTGGGCTAGTGGAAGGTGTCCCTGCCCGTGGCAGGGGGTGGGACTGGATGAGCTTTAAGATCCCTTCCAACCCAAACCATTCTGTGTTTCTATGACAATTTTTTGGGTGAATAATTCATCAGCAAACATCTGCTACCTCTTGCTCAGCAGAAAACACAACCCTGGGCTGGTCCCCTTCCTGTCTGTCCCTCCCCATCCCACACCTGAGTCCAGCCTGGAGAGCAGGATCAGACCGTGCTGGGACCCCACACACTGCCACTGTCATTATCTACCCCGGTGACTTTAGTTGCTTTAATTTCTCTCCCTGGGGTCCACCCCAGAGGGGTGAATATGGGGGAAATGAGGGACACTGGGGGCAAAGTCACACAGCAGTCCTTCACCATAAACAACTATGATCACTGTGTGGCAGAATTAAACTGAATTAAACACCCAGGGGTGGGGATGGGACCCTCCTGGGGTCCCCAAGGGGGTCGGGACCATGTGAAGGGGGATACTCAGGTCTGGGTGGTGGGAGCAGCTGCAGCCCCAAAGCACCCCCTGCCCACCCTGCCCAGCCCTGCCAGGGGCTCCACGGCACCATTTTATTCTCTTCAATGCCTGGCCTCCCTTGTTTTTTACTTTATTCCTGGATTAACACATCGGGCAGCAGCCAGACTGGCTTCTGCTCAAAGGAGGAGGGGAAAGCGTTTATATAATTCATTTAAATGAGGCACCCGGGGAAATCCAAATTGGACTTCCAGCATGTTTACAGTGCCACGCAGGGCTCCATGATCCGCATCTGGAGCCATTAATGCCTCCCAGCCGGCCCACAGAGCATGGATAATTAATTGTGGAGCAAAGCCCTTGCCCAGCCTCCAAAGATATCGCTCGGGGGCAGAGGCAGCGCTGCTTCCCCTGGGATGTGGATTCATTTCAGCGGGGCTTTTCTCCTCCGGAAAATGTTCAGCCAGCCTTCCTCGGGGTGGGAAACGCTGGGCAGCCCCTGGGGGTGAAGCTGCAGGAGGAACGAGCTGAGCTGGGCTGTGAAATCCTCGCTGGGCTTGGGGGGAAGCATCACCTGCGAGGTGTCCTCGGGCGGGGCGTGAGGCCCTGTGGTGATGGGCAGGGTCAGGGCTGAGCCCTGCCCTGGAAAAGGGGCACAGGGACCCCTCAGAGGGGAGCAAACCCACTGCAGTGGGGAGCAAAGAGCCCTGGACAAGCCAACCCCCGTTTTGTTTGGCACAGGGATGGATCAGGCATCCCCTGCTCCAGGCACGGGGGGGTTTGCTGCTGGGTGAGACATTTGGGGTGTGCAGGGGCAGGCTGAGCCCCCTCCCTGCCCTCGGGGAATCTCTCCGTGGCTGAACCAGCGCTGATCTCACTCCCTTGGGTGCTCCAGCTGCAGTGCCCAGAGGCAGCACCCGCTCCCACCCTGCTGGGAGCCAGCCCTCCCCCGAGGAGGTGCTTTTAGCCTTCCAAAAACGTTCCCCTGGGACATTACAGGGATATGGAGGGCACCTCGACCCATTTAAACCCTTTATTTCTGAAAGCCTGGAGGGGGGATGGACTCCTCTGCCTCCCCACTGCTGTCTCTGCGTTGCTTTGAAGAGCAAAGCAGGGATGGGAAGGGAGACAGGGAGTGAAAGAAAAACTTAAAAAAAAATTTAAAAACTCCATCGTGAACCCTGCTGCTCGAGAAACATCTGTATCTATAAATACCCCCGAAGTGAGTGGGAACAGGCTGTATCTCCAGCAGCTCCCTGAGGCAGCAGAGCAGCCTCGCCCCGGTTAAACCCTTTCCAACACATGCTCCTGGAACACACACCATTCCCTGCAGCTTTGCAGGAGATTTTTTGGGATCCCCCCCCCCCCCATACTGGTCTTTAAAAAAAACAGGATATAAATGAGAGTTGTTTTCTTTTTTGCAGCTGGGTGCCAGGGAGGGTGAGGGGTGGCCCTGGGGGTGTGAGGGGCTCTCTGGGGTGAGCAGGGCTTTCCTGCTGATCCTGGCTGGGACACGATGTCCTGCCTCCTGTGTCCCTCCAGCCTGGATCACGTGTGCCTGGAGAAATTTGGATCACAATCACATATCACAAACCCTGGATCACATCCCAATCCTGTATCAAAATGTCAGATCCTGATCCTATATCACAATCCCAGATCACAATCCCAGATCATAATCCCAATCCCAAATCCCAATCTCATTTCACAATCCCGATCCCAAATCACAATCCCATATCACAATTCCAAATCCCAATCCCACTCCCATATCACAATCCCAAATCCCAATCCCAATGCCATATCACAGTCCCAAACCACAGTCTCAAAATCACAATCCCATGTCACAATCCCATCTCACAGTCACAACCCTGTGTCACAATCCCATATCAAAATCCCATCTCACAGTCCCAGATCACAATGCCATATAACAGTCCCATACGACCATCTCATATCACCATTCCATGTCCCAATCCCATATCCCAATCCCATATCACACGCAGACTCTACTCCACCTCACACAAACCCTCCAGCAGCCCATGTGTCCCCAGGAGCTGCTTCCCTGCCTGGGAACCCCTGAGGTCCCGGGTGGGTCCATCCTGCCCTGGCTCTGTGCCCGAGCCCAGCACCAGCCCCAGGCTGGCAGGGCGTGGTGGTTGCCCTGCCCCCTGCCCAGGACACACCAACCACTTTGCTCCTCAGGGTTAAAACCAGCCTGTCCTTCTCCTCCTCCTTCTCCTCCTCCTTCTCCTTCCTCCCTGGTCCTTCTGCCCATGTCTCCCCAAGGACACACAGGCATCCCCCCCTGGAGCCTCCCATGCCCCCTGCAATGCCCAATCAGTCCTGACAAACAGCATCCTAACCCGCCAGTTACTCTGGGGTTTGTCACTGATGTGTTTTAAGCCACTGATGGCTCCCATTCCTGGTTATCCTTGGCTCTCCTGGTGGGAAGAGCTCTCAGGGAGGGACCAGAGCTGGGAGGCAGCTGTGCCAACACCACAAGTTGGCCCATGGAGAAGCCAGTGTCAAAGAATTTCCCCAACAGGGTTTTGTTCTGCAAGTGCAGACCATCCCAATTCCAGGTGGTTCCCACTGGGATAATGTCCCTGGCTGTCCAGCAAGGGACAGGAAGGAGGTGTCAGAGGCCACCGGTGCTGCCACCTGCATTGGTGGGGATTTCCCATTAGGTTTCCCACAAGCCACACATCTCCCAAGGATCTGGGCCCTTTCCAGATGTTCACAGGACCTTCTGCTGCCTGAGAACTGCGTCTGCTGGAGCAGGGAAAGGGATGGATGGGGACCTTTCCCTGGAGTGGGAGCAGGGAAAGGGATGGATGGGGACCTTTCCCTGGAGTGGGAGCAGGGAAAGGGATGGATGGGGACCTTTCCCTGGAGTGGGAGCAGGGAAAGGGATGGATGGGGACCTTTCCCTGGAGTGGGAGCTGCTGAAGCGTCACTTGCCCAGAGAGCTCTTGCTGGTGCTGTGGCACCCACTGGGTTCCCACTGGTGACGACCTCATCACCTCGAGGTTTTTCAAATCCCAAAGTAGGATTAACACTGTGCCCATACACATGAAGCCGGCTCTAAATCCCCCAAATCCTTGTTCAGACCACCCAGAGCCAGCAAAGGAGGAGATGAGGTTGCCTGGGCTCCACCACCCTCCCCACTGCTCATGGAGGTGTTTGGGGCAACAGGGACATGTGGGGCATCCCAGAGCTCCTCCAGGCAACAGCCATGGGGTCATCCCACATTGCTCAGTCCCCTCTAAAGTAAATCCCATTCTTCATCCTTCCTCGATAGAAGGAGCCTGCACAGACGTGCTTCCAGAGGTTATGGGGTGTCTCCTCTCCCATCTCCAGCAAAAGTACCCTCTTCCATCAAAGTCC